TGTGTATATATAGATGTGTGTATAGATGTGTGTATGTATGTGTATATATACATATTATATATATATATACATACTTATAAAAAGGTTTCTCTTTGTGTGATCCCTTACCCATTATTTCCTAGACTACTATCTGCCTTGACCATCCTTAGTCCAGCCCACATACGATATCTCATTCAATATTTCTCTTATTATTCTTCAATATTGTTAAGGTTAACTGTGAACATGAATCTGTGGTCATAAAGTAATAGGGTACATAAATAAAAACAGGACACTAGGAAAGAAATTCCCTAACAACTGTAAGCAAGTGCTATATTATTCTCTTTGACTATACATGCCTCTTTCCCTTAATTAACAGAATAATCTGTTTCAGTGGATTCAAAAATTAATTTAAAAAATTTGACTTCTGTGTTGTGCTTACTTAGAAGGGCAATAGTCTTTCAGGGGGTCCATAAGTCAGGTGTGTAATGAGTGCCTATTCTATGTATAGTATAGAGTAAATATGAGAGAATACTTTAAAAGAAAACATAGTAGGCTTGATCATTTTCATAACTACCTATGCTTTAGGAGTATTCATGTCTTCAGGCTGGTCCTCAGAAAGCATCTTTAACAATGAATTCTTTATAAAATAAAGATTCCCCATACTAGTTGTATACTACAACTATATTCTTCTAAAATAATAAAACTTCCATATTTATAGACATTTAGAACTGAAAGGGACCTTGGTAATCATTTTATGGCATAGATGAAGAAATGGAGGCCTAGGGAAACAAGGGACTTTCCCAAGGTCCCATAACTGGTTAGATGTTGAGGTAGGCACAGGACTGTGTCCTCCTGACTCTTGACTAGGTGAATTTTTTGCTATCCCCCCCAAATATGTCTCTGCCTAAACCAAAAATATTAGCATGTACTTGTAATGTTAAATACCATAAGTCAGATTTAAATTGTGGCTGAATGGTCAATGTAATTATGTCCTAGGGCTAAAGTTTAAGTTTTGAAAGTGAGGAGTAAAGGGTTAGCCAGTGCTTGACAATCAACCAGACAAATACCGCATGTCACCACTTCATTCCAGGACTACTGCAATAGCCTGTTGGTTGGTATGCCTGCCACAAGTCTCTCCCCATTCTAGTCTATACTCCATTCAGCTGTCAAAGTAATCTTCCTAAAGTGAAGGTCTGTCCCTATTCAATGAATCCCAGTGGCACCCTATCACCTTTAGAATCAAATATAAAACCCTCTGTTGGCAGTTTCAAAGCCCTTCATAAACTGCTCCCACACACTTTTCCCCATTTTCTTATTATCTAGTAACACTGGCCTCCTTGCTGTTCCTCAGACAAGACACTCCCAACTGTGGGCATTTTCATTGGCTGTCCCCTGTGCCTGGAGTGTTCTCCCACCTCATCTCTACTTCCTAGCTTTCCTGGCTTCCTTCAAGTTCCAGCTAAAATCCCACCTTCTACAGGAAGCCTTTCTTAATCCCTCTTAATTCCAGTTCTTTCCCTTTATTGATAATTTCCAATTTATCCAGTAAATGTCTATTTGTACATTGTTATTTGCATATTATTTCCCCCATTAGATTGTGAGTTCCTCAAGGGCTTCTCAAGGAATTCCTCAAGGAATGTCCTTTACCTTTCTTTGTATTCTCTACACTTAGCACAGTGCCTGGTACTTAGCAGGCACTTCATAAATGTTTATTGACCGACTTTTCTAACTTCCTTTTAGGCCCTTCTCGTCACTACCAGATACAACCAACTCAAAGCTCAAATCCTTTTCCCCAGTGTCTTCATGGAGCCACCAATAAAGATTCCCTTCATTCTGGAATATGGAAGAGTCCATAGAAGTATAAAAGGCAGGCCTTAATATCACCTAACATTTAGATATTATAATATATAAATGTATCTACCCTTTCCTTAATGCCTCTTTAAGTGTAAACTTATTGGAAAAAAAATTGCTTTAGTATGTTATGCATAATACTTTTTATCTCACAGCTATGTATCACTGAAAATTATGAACTATTAATATAAATAATGTAAATACAAATAATAAACTATTAAAAACTCCAGTGATAGTTCTGTTCCTCTAGGAAGTTGTGTTCCTAAATTGAGCTGAAAAACTGACAAATAATCAGGACACAATCAAGAAAGATGCTCGGGTTACCAATTTTCAACTATAATTTCATGCTTTTTGTGGTTATTTAAAAGATAAATAAAAACTTATGAACTTCGGGATAAAAAAAGAAGACATTTTAATCAAGACATTTTAAATTTTTATACTTGAAAAATCAAGTGTTAAGACTGAATTATGCAAAAATGCTAGCTTGACCCATGGAACTGACATTGCAAATAGGCTAAGGATGCAGGAAAGAATATCTTCCTGGGAACAATTCAGGATGCTATTGCATTTCCTGTTACTTACACTCATTGCCCCACGTACCTGATAATATTTAATGTGCATTTAAAACAAGATTTTTTTCCTTTCCTCTTGGAAAACAATAAAATGACATGGACCTTTGTGTAATCACAATCCAAGTTTTATTTTCCCAGTTACATAAGATTCCCTTTATATGATACCTACTCTAAGATAACGCACCATGATCTAGGATATTTATCTTTTCTTCTCCTTTTTGTTCTGACTCCTCTACCCCAAAGGCGAAGTAGACTTATGTTGAAGAAGCATTATGGGAATATATCCATATTATGGAAATATGGAAATATTTGTGAATTTTATGAGATGTATAGGATAAGAGCTTTAGCCTTCTTGTATTACCAAACTTAGATGACTCTAACTCAGTCTGATAGAAATAAATAGAAGTGAGCTATGAGAAGCATTGGTACTAACTGATTTTACCAAGTGCCCCCCAAATGGCACCTTATTCCTCCCCCACCCCTCTTTTTAGCTCCTTTTAATATGTTGTCTTCCCCATTAGAATGTAAGTTTATCAAGGGCAGGTCTCTTTTTGCTTTATTTATATTCCCAGAGTTTAGCATAGTTGCTAAAACAGAGTAAGAGCTTAATACATGCTTTATCTAGTCTAATTTAATTATAAATAAATATGGTATCCTCAATTAAGAATAACCCAACTGATCTCTACAAATTTTGGATTGTACCAGATCTACAAATTTCCTGGATAGAACACACATCTGTCACCATATGTTCAAGCTTTGGGAGTTTCCTTTACAGTGACATCTGTTAAGAGCAGATACTCTATCATAATATTTTGAGAAAAAAATCAGTCCTTTATACCCTTCTCTCATAAGATGGAAATGCATTTCAAAAGCAAGTGATTGGAGCCATCTAACTCTCTGAGGAAATCATATAATAGTTCCTTTTCTAATGTAAAAATACTTGGAAAAGATGAAAGACTGATACACACACACACACACACACATACACACACACACACACACACACACACACACACACACACACATACACACACCCCCAACACACTCATGAACACTTTGGGTACAGATGAAGTCAATTGATTTTTATTTAGGATATTTAGAACACATTTTGCTCACTTTCATTTAATTATTTCTTAGAATGAATATGGTAACTATGTTTTAAAGCCTTCCTCCGCTATTCCTGAATGAAGAGAGAGATATTTTAATTGCTAATGTGAGCCTCATTTCACATTATAAAAATTTAGGCTTCCCTCACTTTACTTCTCCATTTATCTGAGAAAAGGTATGAAAATAGGACCATGAACACATATACTAAACTATAATTGAGATGCTTTTTACCCAAGGGAAAAATGTTTGGGGGAAAATATATATATTATTCTGTGGATAGCCACAACATTGTCACATGATGAAGTCTGGATGAAAGGAGAAAGGTAATGGGGGAGGGGGGAGGAGAGCACAGAAAGGAGTAGTAAAAAGTAAAGAAAAATGCATTTTAAAAAAATTTCTTGGTACAAATGAGTTTTGACATAAAAGTGGAGGAAAGTGAGGAATCATTTCATTTTGTTTCATTATCAGCATCCAGATGGCTGACCAGCAGAAAAGAAGGGGAAATAATCTTATGTACATGATGAGAAGGGGAAAAAAATAACTGACTAGCATAAAAAGACTTAAAAATGTATTTTTCAAGAGATCTTTTGCATCAATAGTAAAATATCTTTTTAATTGTAACTAATTATATGCTATAAACAATCTTTATTTGGACTATTATTTATCACCAGAATATAAAGAATAACTATCTGCTACTTGCCTTGGAAAACTTTCTTTTTAATTGGTATAAATTTCTTGCTGCAGGAATGCAATGACAAGTCTACTTAAAATGAATGATTTTGCCTATTTTTGGTCTTCAACCAAATATCAACCCAACATTTTCACATACCACCCCCTAACAGAAACCAAAAACATTCCTATTAAGTTACTGACACTTAAAACATAAAATTGACAGAAATTCAACATGAACTTGAATATACTAAAATAGACAGTGCTTTACGTTCTTGGGATGAAATTTGAAGCCCCACAGTGATTATAGCTACTCCTCTGATGCAATAAAGGTTCGATGATATCACTAACACATTTCATTAAACACTAATATAATTAATCTACTAAACCTCTGAACTACCTGAAATTTTGTCTAGCTTACAATAAAAATCAGCAGATTTTTCATTTGAATAACCTCACTCCCTATATACAGTCAATACTGTTGGTTTATATATGGGTATGTGAAATAATGTTAAAACCTCCACGTTTCCTATTTATTTTCAATTTCTCCTCCTTTCTTTCTTTCATCTTTTCATATTCTTTTACTCTTCATTTAAGAAAACTCAATTCTTCTCATCTGTCCCATAAAACACATAAGAGGTTGGATAATAATAGGATGACCACTATGAATGATAATATCCATGATCTAATATATTCTGTATTGAAAAACAATTTGCAAAATGACTTCTAGCTTTTAAAAGGGGAAAATGTAATTGAGGTTTAAAATGAAATGTTCTAACTCAAATGATACTGCCTAACTATGAGCTTCTGTAAGTCACCCACCTGGGGCAGCATGCGATTCTCCTCCTCCAGCTGTCTTACTCTTGCCTCCAGCTGCCTAACATAGGACAAGGTTGATTCTAAAATTAAAAAGAAAGAACTCACATTATACATACAGATCTTGTTTTGTGCACTGTCAGGATATTTTTGACTTGATTTATTCAGAAGAGGTAGTGACTTCAGTATGCCTAAAAACAAATAAACAAATCACCCAAAGGGTCTGTTTCTCCCTAGGAAAACAACAGAAACTGCTGATAGTACAAATAAATTTAGACTATTGTACAATGTTTTGAAGAATTACTCCAGTTTGGAGGTGGTTAGATACCAGATTCCTGGACTCCAGCCAGCCTTTTCACATGTAAACATCTTGTAGACAGACAGTGCTTATTAGCTCCTACTCATCTCCTAACCCTGTGCTTTCTGAGTCTGCAATAAATTGTAGCAGACGTATTTTAAAACAGTCTCTGAAAACACAAGCTGCATGACCACTTATGCAAAATGGCTAAAATGGCTAAAGGAAAAAGAAACAGCCTTATGGTATGAAACATTTATATACTGATTATGGAAGAAATAAAATCTTCCAACCCCATCACGAACCAACTCTCACTCTGCTCACAGCCTGCAAATCAATCAATCAACAAGCACATATCAAGCCTTTATTCAGTGGCAGGCACGGGGAGAGGTGCTGTCGATAGAAGTATAATAAGTGAGATAATCCTTACTCACGAGGAATTTATATTCTAATGGAGGAGGCAGGAAAGGAAAGAGGAAGAGAGAGACAGACAGATAGACTGACAGAGACACAGATAGAGACAAATACAAAGAAAGAGAGACAGAAACAGGGATAAAAAGACAGAGGGAGAGAAACAGAGGGAGAGACAGAAAAACAACAGAAAAATATATCTACATATGCAATCCCAGGACTACAAAATCAAAACAGCCAGAATGGTTTGACACTTTTTTTTTCATTTTTGCAGGGTATGATACAATTTACCCAATTGATCTGTGAATTAACCATTGCCTACCCTAAAGGTGACCCTCCCTTGGTGATAGTTGGGTTTCAAGGTGAGTCCAAGGTATGTTGTCAAAGGCCCAGAGGATGGATAAATCTCTCTCACTTTCTGGATCACTTACTCACAAATTCAAACCCTACCTGAATGTCCAAAAACAGGAAAATGATTCAATTTCAAAACGATGCAATAATGGAATAGAATTGCTTTACAAAGCAATTAAGATTGACAGTTTTCAGAAATACAAAGAACTTTTGGAAAAACCTTTATGAAACCATACAAAAAATAAATGAAACTAAAAATACAGAACAAGGAGATTGGAGTATGTACCATGACCATATAAGAAGAAAAGCAAAATGAAAATAAATAGAATCCTGATGGGGACTTAGAGAGAAAACCTTCTAAAAAAACACTATGATCCTTTATGTGTTGAAACTAATTAAACATAAATGATATTAAGGAAGTATAATATTTATTCTGATGTTTAATTTTTCCCAATATTTTTTGAGAAGTCAAACCATGCTCTCTTAAAAGGGCATAAATTTAGGAAGAGGGAAGTACCAATCATTTGAAAATATCAATGCTTCCTTTTTGTTGCTATTGTTCAGTCATGTCTGACTCTTACCTCATTTAGAATTTTCTTGGCAAAGATATTGATGTGGTTTGCAATTTCCTCCTCCAGCTCATTTTACAGGTAAGGAAATTGAGGTAAATGGGGTTAAGTGACTTGCCCAGGGTCACAAAGCTAGCAAGTGTCTGAGGCCAAATTTGAACTCATGAGTCTTCCAGATTCTAGGCCCAGTGCTCTATCCACAGTTCCACCTAGCTGCCCTAGCTTCCATCACAAAAAAGATCAAATTGTCACCATTCCAACCTATGTCAAAACTAATTTCAGGGTCCAAATAGGAACAATATGATCCATCACTGCAGAGTGCCATCTATGAACAAATACATCTCAAATACGGTGAAAGTGAAGGATAACACAATTCCTCAAGGGCAGATTTCCATATATTTCTCATATGACCATTTTTAGCAAACAAAAAAGCTGAAGAGGCTGATTCATTACATTGTTCTTCAACTTAAGAAGGAGAAAAAGAAAAATTTTTTTATTGTAAGATGCTAGGATATTTGGGAGGCATATGCTGGGACCCCTTAAGTTATATAATGTTGGAGTATTAAAAATGATTTAATGGCCAAATCTAAAATGTACTATGTAAATAATTATCACTTTTATTTATAAATTCTTTGTGTGGGCAGAGACTCAATTGCCTTTCTATCACATCCACAGAAACAAATGAAGAAAAGCTTTAATATACCACTATTCTCTTTAAAGAAAAAACAAAGAAGCAAACTGTTTTCAATTTAATATGATGTCACATGGAGACAATCAGTCCTCAAAGGTCAAACATAATAATGGAAGGATCTGCTCTCACCAGCGTCCATCAGTTCTTCTGGCTTCCACAGAATGAGGAAGTTCTGATTCTGAATCCAGATTCCTTCAAAGGGCCACACTTGAGGACCTAGAGGGCCATATGTGGCCTTTAGGCCGCAGGTTCCCCACCCCTGAATTAGACTATAACTCTTCCTCTCTTGACCTGCCGAACAACTGAAGTGCTAGTGGAACAAAACGGTTAACCTTGATCGTTCCATAATTTAAAAGAGACAAGAACATTAGAGATACAACAAAGTGGATCAAACTGAAATGTTGATATGTGATCTAATATTTTACTGCAATCTTCAAAATGACCAATGATTTTTTTTTAATAATCAGTCTAATAATTGTTTCTCAGTCTTCATCCCTTTTGACTTCTCTGTAGGATTTTCATGACACTGACCATGATTTTCCAACTACCTGTCTGACTTTTCTTTTCTGGGCTCCTTTTTCCGATGCTTTAACTGTTGTGGTTGTGTCATCAAGGTATTTATCTTGGACCTTCTCAGTGATTTCATCAGTTTCCATGGGTTTAGTTATTATCTCTATACATAAGAGGCTAGCCTCAGTTGTTCTCTTGAATAACAATTCCACATCACCAACAGTTTATCAGCCATTTCCAATTGGATGTGCCATAGATATTTGAGTTTATATAAAGCATTTTATAAGCATTTTATAAAGCATTTTAAGCCAAACGACATGGAGTATCCCTCCCCTCCTCCAAATCCCTCCTAAATGCCAGCTATTGCAAATTTCATTTCTTGCAATTCAGCCATTTTAATGTAAGTCCCACATTTTACAAAGCACCAGTAGTTCACTCTTACCACTAGGATAAAGTATAAACTCCTCAGTTTGTCATTTAACACCTTTTATAACCCGGCATCAGCCTACCTTTCTAGGCATGCATTACTTTTGTCCATGTATTCCAACCAAACTGGCCTACATGCCATTCCCTATGTGTTACTATCAATTTTTCATCTCTGTGCTCTTCCACAAGGTGTCCCCCGTGTCTAGAATTCACTTTCTCCTCAGCTCTGCTTCTTAGATCCCTAGCTGTCTTCAAAGATCCTGTTGAGGTATTACTTGATCCCCTCAGTTTCTAGTGCCCTTCCTCCATGAAAATATTTTGCATTTATTCAAACTCACTGAAGTTCACTGGATTCTCTAGTGTTGACTCCTTATTAGACTTCATTTTTAATTCCTTATTATCCTCTCAGTCTATTGACCATCTATAAAATAAGCTTAATAATACTTGTCTATCTCAGGGAAGCTATGGGAAAGTGTTACATGGATGTGAGCTATTACCAAACATGGAACATCAGTATTAGCATCAACATAATTTTGAGTAAATTCCAATGATGTTATTCTTCCTTCAAAATGTCAGCAAAAATTTTCAATGGATTTTAAATTGTATCAGAGACTGGCGCCTTCCTAAATGATTGTCCTTGGTTTGCCTTTATTTCAGTTTACCTCTAATTGTTTCTTAGGCCACCAGGTAGGCTAATTTCTGCTGTCTCCACTACCATTTTGAAAAGCCCAGGCATCACATTACATTTTATCTTGTTTCCTGTGGCTTTCTAAGGCAATGAGGTTTTTTTTCTCCCTTTTGGTTGGCCCTCATCCCTGAAATCATCTACGAATTATTTTGATTATTGCTATGCAATAACTGTTCACCATGGACAATTGAAGCTGTCTGATCTCTGTCAAATCTATAAGTGGCAACACTTTGAGAGAATGTAGTCTGGTCAATGAAGAGCCTTGGGAAAGGGTGAAAGCTGCATATGATATGCTCTTACCACTAGAGCATTCAGGTAAGGGGGAGAGGAGGTGAGGGGACTGGGAGGGAGGGGGAACCATTAGTTTGAAACAATAGACTACTCATTTGTTCAAATACTTCCTTTTCCAAGGATCTGTAGGAATGTTTTCACTGCAGACACCATAATACCTGCACCTACCAGGAACCATCCCATAGTCATGGAATTCTCAATTCCCAGTAATTCTCCCCATAAACTCAGCCTCCAAGGACACAGCTCTGATTGTTTCAAAATTAGATCCTACCATGCACTGGCTTTTATACATTCCAGAGGAAATTACTTCAGAAAAGTATTACTAAGATTATTTCTCTTTAGACCGAAATTGTTTTTTTTTTTTCCCTTCCTCAGGCAATCAGAGGTCAGCCTCCCACTCAGAACACACAGCTCTGGACATATTTGCGATTATACCTCTCAATGTAATTCGACATTTTTCTTATGAAAATATCTCTTTGGAATCAGAATTTTCTTATTTGTTTTGGCCCTTAATTACAAACTGCTACATTAGGAGAGATTGAATTTTTAATCGGGCTTCTTTTTTTATTATTTGGTTGGGTTTTGGGGGATTTTTTGTTCAGTTGGTTGGTTTTTTTCTTTGTTTTTTGGGGGTTTTGTTTGTTTGTTTTTTGGAAAAAGAAGACAGTCCTAGACCTGTGATCTCATAGGGAAATTTTCCAGTTTACCTATACTAACTGGCAAACAATCTGTAACTTATAGTCAGAGAATAGCCTTGATCACAGAGGATTAATGACTCACACTTGGTCACACAAAGGTATCAAAAACAGGAACCCAATTTTCCTGATTCTAAGATCAGTTCTCTGTGTACT